CAGGAGAGACCATAAGACTCCTATCTCCAATAAACCACCAGAAAACCGGAAGTGGCGCTGTAGCTCAAGTGGTAGAGCGCTATCTCCAATAAACCACCAGAAAACCAGAAGTGGCACTGTAGCTCAAGTGGTAGAGCACTCGCCTTGAGCTGAAGAGCTGAGGGACAGTGCCCAGGCCCAGAGTTCAAGCCCCACGACTGACAAAAAAAAAGGTACATTTTATTTAACTGTGGTCAATTTCAGGTTCCCATGGGCATAGTCAAACTAAGTCATTAAGTCCTTAGATGATTCATTTACTTAACAAAAACTTAAATTTTAAAAATTAGCTTAGGTATTCTTGGTCAGTTGAAGAGGTCTACTCTTCACACAGATATCAGGCAAAAGAATATATTGGATTTGGGTTTTGGTGGGGGGAGGAAGTGTGGTAGGAATGGAAAAGCCAATGGGTCAAAATCCCAGACCTTGTCTATTTACCTTTGGAATGACATTTGCAAAGAGGTGATCCAACAATCTAACGGAGTCTGGGCCTCTGATGTTAAACTTGCCAAATGGTGACAGGTCAATCACTCCTACTTTCTGCATAACTTGTTTATACTCTGAACCCACAGGCTCAAACCAGTTTGTACGACGAAAACTTGGCCTGAAACACAATATTTAGAGTTACAAAACAATAGTCATCCATTGTCCAAAAATGACAGAATAAGGATATTTTAAAGAACTTCACTCAATAAAAAAATCCTTTTAGAAAGAAAAAAAGACATATTTTGTAAATCATCTACACATGTTGGAACTTGACCTTTTAGAGTTACTCATCTATCCCATTTCAGAGTGCATTAAATATTAATTAACTAGAAACTAAAACAGAACTTGAGAATGCTCAGATCTGAAAGAAAATGTAAGGAACAACCCGTCCAGGGGTTTTCAATCCTGGATATATAGATGGGGAGCTTTTTGAAGCTGGGAAGGAAAGAGCTATCTAGTTCAGTGCTTCTCAAACATTAACACAAATACAAATCATTTTCACTTGCTAACATCCAGTACTTGATACCTGGGGGCTGCTTGGTCTGCAGGTTTCTGGCCCTACCAGCAAAGGTACAAGTGAGGATTTGGTCAACATGACCTCTAAGACTTTTCAGTACTTAATACGAGAGCTGAGTTTGGGACAAAGGTCTCCTGACTCATTATTAAAGTCCCTTTCCACTTAACCAAGTGGATTTTTAACATGACATTTTAACTTCAGAGCACGATGCCAAGTCTGGAAAATGAGTTTTTAGTAGTTTAATTATTAAAATGATAGAGGGAACATAATGCAGATATAAACAGCACAAAGTGAAGAAGAGAGCTGGCTTTTATCTAAGTCATTAAGGAAAAGCCAAACCCATATTTGACCACCAAATGATTTGGATCAGTTGTCTACAGAGTCGGAATTTATTCATCAACAGTAGAAACTCCATAATACTTTGTGCCACTTAGATCTGGTCTTAAAATAGATAACAAAACATGAAAAATAAACAAAGCTTGAAAATAAGGTAACTTCCCTTCTAGATTTGCTATTTGATTTCCCTTTGTTATGGATTCTCATGAGAAAATAGATAATCACCATTCATCCTAAGTACAACAATAACATGTGGCACTTTGCAGAAATTCAGAACTAGTTAATATTAATTAATAATAAAAATAATAACTAATTAGTATGTGGCATACTCTATGTTTTAGCTTAAGCTGAACTGCTCAAAAAATGACCTTGTCCCTTAATTGATCAATTGTGCATATAATTTGCCTGACTCAGTATACATACACTATAAAGTAGGTGCACTGAATTATTCCATGATAAAGAACCTAACACACCAGGTCCTTCAATTTGTGGGTATATACTCCAGGATTCCATCAAGTATTCTACACCATGGCAAATCTTAAGAAGCCAATTGAAGCCGGATGCTGGTGGCTCATGCCTGTAATCCTAGCTACTCAGGAGGCTGAGATCTGGGAATCATGGTTCAAAGCCCGCCTGGGCAAAAAAGTCTGTGACACTCTTATCTCCAATAAACCACTCAGAAAACCAGAAGTGGCGCTGTGGCTCAAGTGGTAGAGCGTTAGCCTTGAGCTGTCCCTTGAGCTGAAGAGCTCAGGGACAGCACCCAGGCCCCAGAGTTCAAGCCCCACAACTGACAGAAGAAAAAAAAAGAAAGCCAACTGAAGCCATGTGAGTATATTGATGGGAGTGAAGAAGGTTCCTCTAAGCTTCTGGTGAACAGCAAGTGGAAGAAGTTTCCCAGGGATGGTTACAGGACTTTCAAAGCAAAGGAGTCCTAGATATAGGCCAATGTCTTATTGGCTAAACTAATGCTTCCACTGTCAGAGAATAACTGGAAAAAAATGCACTTTATGCTCCTTAGATTGGGGTGCAGTGTGGGGTAAGAGTGGGCATTGGTAACTCTTTGCTGTTTTCTACTCCAACTCTGTAGTTAATGTCTTAGTCAGAAAGCACAGGCAGGTTGTCATTCTCTTACCTATACTGGGTGTCATGGCCTGGCTTATAAAACCAATGTGGCTGCTCCCAACCTGCATGGAACCCCATAGAACATTTAGCTGACAGGGTTTTGTAGAGCCCGCTGACTCTCTCAGTTGGCCTCCCAGCAAACCGTTCTTCCTTTGGATAACCAACTAAGAAAGGAAAAGCAGTACTTTAACTAGGTTGTACTTAGAAGAGATTTAAACAATGGAAAATGCAGAGCTTAAAATTGAGAAGCAGGCTGGGTAGGGGTGGCTCATACTTAGACTCCTAGTTACCCAGAAGTCTAAGATCTGAGGACTGTAATTCAAAGTCAGTCCAAGGAAGTTCATGAAACTCTTATCTTCAACTAACCACCAAAAACCATAAGTGGAAGTGTGGCTCAAGTGGTAGAAGACTATCTCTGTGTGAAAAAGCTATGGAATAGCACTCAAGCCCTGAGTACCAGCACACACACACACACACACACACACACATTCATATGCTCACAATTTATGGATAAAGCAAGCAAAGTGTCACTTATAGTGGTCATCAAGGGGTAAGGTAATACATATATTTAAATTTTAAAATCAGTGATGCACCCTATATATTAAATATATATAGTCATATATATTATTTGTTGAATCTTAGCAGCACAATGCTTTGTAGAGTTTTTGACCACCCCAACCCTAGAATAAAGAACATTTCAAGTCAGAGGTACTGCCATTCCATTCTTCAAGCTCTTCAGCAGATTAGTACTTCACCAATGTTGTTGAATCCATATGATTCTCTGGCTTTGGCCTCGGTGTACTGAGTTGTTGTCCATTTGCCATAGCGGTTGGGATCCAATTCTATCAGGTCAAAAGAAGGTTCTCCATGCAGGATCCAGTCACTGAGATACCTCCCTATCCCACCAGCATGGATTATGCCATATCTTAAAAATAGAGAGATGGATAGTCTGTTACTAACACATACCATTTTCAAATGATGAAAACATATTCAAATATTGTATAAGGCCTCAAATTTTGAATGGTCTGTGCTATTCAGAACACAGATGTAACATAATCTTTTTATGTTCTACATTTTTTTACTCAAAAACAAATGAGGACTGGGAATGTGGCTTAAAGATGGTAGAATGCTTGCCTAACATTATGAACCCATCCTAGGTTCAATTCCTCAGCACCACATAAACCAAAAAAGCTTTTTCCCTTCCCCTCCTCAAATTATACCAACATCAAATACAGTGAAAGCAGGGATTATACCGTGGGGGAGGGACATACAAAGCAACAAAGAAATAATCTTATAAATGTGTTAGAAACAATCGCATGAAAGAAAAAAAACATTT